TGTCAAGGTAATGCAGTGAAATGGAGGCTCTTGCCCTTCTAGAGCAAAACAAAGTAGTGTTTTTCTCAGCATAGCAAGAAGACAGAAGTCGCCTTAGGAAAGGGCTGCATTCCTATACTGAGGTGAGGAGAAAGTAGGCAGAGAGTAAAATGTCCTTATAAGGAAACATGCAGCATGGCAAGAAAGGAAACCTGAGTAGCTTTTTTCACCCTGTGGTACTTAGCCCCAAGAAACCTTAAGCTGTGACTACTTGGAGACCATCAACAGCATAATAAATCAAGATCCTGGCAGCTTGGCTTGGAAGAATACTTACACAGATAACCCTTCAGTGACAGAAGAAGAGCAACCAGTTAGCCCTCCACTGGTAAATCCAGAGAGAGGCCAACAGTGCTCACTGGCATGTGGAAAGAACAATAATAGCAGAAATACAGAGTTTTCAGTTCAAATCCTGCCTTCTCTACTTAATATTGAAACGATCTTGGGCAAATTATTTTCCCTGCATCTTTTTCCCTTCCATAAAACAGGAATGATACCACCTATCTCAGACATAACTTGTGAGAATTAAATGAGATAATACACTGCAACACATCCAATAACATACACACAAAGTAGGTATTCAATAATTATATATTTGCAAGCTCCGTTGAAACCAGGAACTGTATGTTGCTCATCTCATCTCTATATTCCTAGCATAGTATATGAGACATAGTATTTCGTGTTTGCTGATTTGTACAATACATGAACGGTCAAAAGGACCCTTCCCTTTTAAATTATTTAAAGCAAAGGGTCAGGCTTATTTTATCAAATTTTTCTCCTATATAGTACTTGTACCTCTGAGATTTTTTTTTTTTTTTAAGAATGCATGATGGCTACTGATAAGTCAGTACAGTGCCCCTTTTTTCTTACTGATATCATCTTCTTCTTGGGAAGAATCTTTAACTGCCATGTAAACCATCTTCTCCCGTTGCATTCGGCTCTGGTCAAGCACTCCAGCTACAGAATGTCCACTGGTATACTCGCTCTCTGTGACAATTTCTGTTCCACCTTAAAAATTAAAACATTTATCAAAATTGAGAAGTATCATGAAATAATTCCCTGATAATTAATAAGGAGGAAATATAAGAAATATGTTCCATTAGAAAAATATTTTTAAAAAATTCCAAAATAAATTTGAAAGTGCCAACAAAATTTTCATATAAATTACACCTTACATTTCCAGTAATTACTTAGAAGTAACAAAAATTGCTAACACTTACATCACACTTATATGCCAAGCACTACATAAGTCTTCTATATATATTTATCCATTTAATCCTCACAACAGCCCTATTAGGTAGTTACTATCATTATGGCCACTTTATGGATGAGGAAACAGAGGCAGAAGAAGGTTAAATAACCGAGGGTCACTCAGCTAAGTGGCAGAACTAGGATTAAAACCCAAACAGAAAAAAAAAATACCAAATAGCCTGCCTCTAGAATCCGTGTTCTTAAACCACTCATTATAATTTCTTAATTTAAACCAAATCCTCTCCACTAATTTGTTTCGATATTTTCAGCTGCAATATTCTACTCATGTTTGAAAGAATTTAAGAATGACATATTCTGCATTTCTGTTTTATATTCATACACAATTTTTAAAAATATACCGTGCCCAAAGAAACCTATAAAAAAATCTGTGCAATTTTCAAATAGTCTACAGAAAAGATAAAAATAAATTCTAATTCCTATTATAGCGATAAATTAAAATTAGTCTTTGTACCTATCTCAACATCATCTTCAGCCTCTGCTTTAAATATATACACTTTTATTACTTCTGAACCAAACCCATCTTCTTTAACATCTTCTTGTGAACCATCACTGCCAATTTTTAATGATGTGTTCCCCATATGCTCTAATTTCTCTCCAACATCATCCACTGTAAAATATAAAAGAGGAAAAGTTTCAGTCAAAAAGTACCATGGACATATAGTGGGTGTTAAGCATAACTGCAACCTGAAATAAGGTGTTAAACCACCTACCCACCATATTCACTTGATGACCTATTTTGTAGCCATTAAAAGTGTTATGGTTCATGGAAAAACAGGTACAAGATCACAATTATATAATAGAATCTATTCACAGATTTCAATTTTTAGATACAAAATACTTAATAACCATATACCTTTAACTAAAATGGTTTGAGAAAATATTAAATCATCTTTTATCACTTTCAACATTTTAAGTTAAATCCCAACACTAAATTTAATAACAGAAAAATTAAGAACAGAAATTACATATTACTCATAAAAGAAGCTCGCATAAACAGCTCCCAAATTAAAGTTGTTTCTAAAACCAATTAACACACAAGATCTAGGATTTAGAAAAAGGAAACACAGAGAACATAGAAATGACTTTTATAAAAGGGTCTTTTCATAAATCGTCATGAAAATAAAATCTTAGTCAATACTCTAATTTCCGTTGAGTCAATAGACAATAACTTCAAGCCAGAAATTTTGTATACCTCTACATTTAGCAATGTATGCTTTATTTCAAAATTACATACAAAGGAAATGCCTAAATGAATGCTTCTAACTTTTGTCTTATCAACAACCCAATGCTTCAGTGAATATAAAAAAATAATATATAAAGGCAAAGCAACGATATTTGAGACTATTACTTATATTTTATGTATACTTACAAAATTCGATTCTCTGCTATAATCTTTAAGTATAACATTTAGTTTCACATGAATACTATGCATGAACTATGCAATAAATATATTAATGAAATTTGTCCTATGATCATAAATAATATTCAAACAATATGTCCCCCTAGATATCATATGCCTACCATTTTTATTTCAACATTGTTCCTATAAAAAACTGAACTATAACCTAAATCAAAAATCTTTTCCTCCTTATTATATACATCACAGTACCGTATGTATATGAAACATAAAATTCTGAAGCCCCTGAGTATACCTAACAATTCTAGAACTAATAAAAGCAGAATAAAGTGGCATTAAAAAGCTTTTAACTTGGTACTCAAAAAAAATTTCACCAAAATCTAAATGGGTCAAAGTCTAACATTATCCCTACTTCGGTTTCAAATTTGATACATATAACTTCAAAAACAGTCGTTTGGCCTTTCAAAATGGAAAACAACACATTTCAGAAATTCTTTTCACATTGCAAAGCTACTTTAACTTTGTGATTAAATATAAATGATTACACTATTTAAGAGTTTGAATAGTTTATTGCCTATGAAAGAAAACATCAAAATGATTGAAATGAACAGACTAAATATTTTCATTCCATCATAGCTCCTAATTCTATTACTGTATTTTCAGCAACATTTTTGGCAATGAAACAAATTATAATGAAAGAAAAAAATGATGAAGTATCTAATATTACTAGTTTAATAGATTCTCTTGTAAAATATGTTGAATAAAATAAGATCATAGAAAAAATTAAAGGAATAAGTTAAGTTTTCAGGAAAACAGTACTCTTTCATTCTTAGAAATAAAGACATAGGATATACAAAAACTTCAAAAAGTATCAAAAATATTAATTTCCTAGTTTGGGATAACTTGTAAATTAATGAAATAATTAAAAATACTCATTTGATAAATCCTACTTTATTATATATAAATGGTTTAAGGTGACCATAGTTCTCTCTGGGATAAGCTGAATTAAAAATATAATTCGCAAAATTAAAGCTAATGAAATAAAAGACATTTTTGAACACTTCTTAATAGGGCTGTAGCATAATTTTAGCTTTAAGTATTGAAATTACCGTTGCTATTCTCTCTGATTCCATTTCTAACTTTTCTTAAGGTTCATACTTTAAGTTTAATGTATCCATTATTTTCTCCTTAGATTAGATTCCTCAGAATGAGCAATTTTAAAATGCACTAACTAAATGTGTTCTTTATTTTAAGTTCATAGGTGATAAAGTTATTAAAAATGTTGGTGTGTAGCTTTAAGAGGTAAACCATCAACTTGACCAAGATTTATTCTATATCCTTTGTTACAGAAAGTACAAAATTAACAAAGACTTAATAGGCAATCAACTGACTTTAGGAATAAATCTACAAAGACTCTTCTAAATGAAGATAATACTCAAAATACCTTAAATCCAAGCTTAACTTTTTTGCTTGTTGTAAGGCATGCAATATTCAAGTCCCATAGTATTGTTTCTCAATCTAGTAATAATATAATAACCACTATAGAATTGTACTGGCACATAATATGATAAAAAAGAGTAAGGTGTATTGTTTGCCAACACTGCAAAGTTTGGTAACATTCAATATTCTTTTATAGCCTATTGGCACAATTTGATTAAAATTTCATTTTAGTAAAATGAACAATATAGCATTCCGTTTTAAAGCTAAGTAGGCTTTTTGCTGTACTCTTTGTATGTTACATCTACCAAAATTATATGGCGGGTATGATAACATAATTATAGTATACTGATATGCCACAGGGATGGGATCAGGTAATATACAGAAGATCTATATTTCACAATATATGGAAAAATCAAAAAATTAGTCATTGTCAGATTTCAAACGTGTGTCAATCCTAGGTTTCTACCCAAGAAAAATGAAAATATATGTCCATACAGAAACCTGTACACGAATCTTCATAGCAACGTTATTCATAGAAGCCAAAAGGTAAAAACAATTCAAATGTTTATCAACTGATGAATGGATAAATAAAATGTGATATATCCATATAATGGAATATTACTAGTATTAAAAAATGAATGGGTCGGGCGCAGTGGCTCATGCCTGTAATTCTAGCATTCTGGGAGGCTGAGGCGGGAGGATCGTTTGAGTTCAGGAGTTCGAGACCAGCTTGAGCAAGAGTGAGACCCTGTCTCTACTAAAAATAGAAAGAAATTAGCTGGACAACTAAAAATTCGCAGAAAAAATTAGCCAGGCATGGTGGCGCATGCCTGTATTCCCAGCTACTCAGGAGGCCGAGGCAGAAGGATTGCTTGAGCCCAGGAGTTTGAGATTGCTGTGAGCTAGGCTGACACTAGCCTGGGAAACAGAGTGAGACTCTATCTCAAAAAAAAAAAAAAGGGGGGGGAATGAAATATACAGGTGACCCTTGAACAACACGGGTATGAACTGCATGGGTCCATTTGTATGCAGATTTGTTTCTGCCTCTGCCATCTGAAACAGCAGACTAACCCCTCTACTTTCTCCCTCTCCTCAGCCTACTCAATGTGAAGATGATAAAGATAAAGACCTTCATGATGATCCACTTCCACTTAAAGAACAGTACATATAGTTTTTTCTTCCTTATAGTTTTCTTAACATTCTTTCATTAGCTTATTTTATTATAATACAGTATATAATACATACAACATACAAAGTATGTGTTAATTGACTTATCAGTAAGGCTTTTGGTCAACAGTAGGCTATTAGTAATTAAGTTTTCAGGAGTCGAAAGTTATACATGGATTTTTGACTGCACAGGGGGGTGGGGGTCAGCACCCCTAACTACCACATTGTTCAAGGGGTCAACTGTACTTATACATGCTATGACATGGATGACCCTTGAAAACATTATGCTAAGTAAAAGAAGCCAAACACAAAAGGCTACATATTATATGATTTCATTTATATGAAATGTACAGTATAGGCGAATCTATACAGACAGAAATTAAGTTAGTGGTTACCTGGGAGTAGATGGGGGGGGGTAACTGTTAAAGGGTATAGAGATTCTTTTTGGTGTGATAAAAAAGTTATAAAATTGACTGTGGTGATGCGTGGGTAACTCTGTGAATACACAAAAACCCACTGATTTGCATACTTTAAATGGGTGAATTGTATAGTGTGTGAATTACATCTCAATAAAGCTATTATATTTTGAAAAATTACAAAGGTGATAACTTTGTTATTTTAACCCTAAAATTGGAGAGGTTTGAATGAGATTTCCCAGCATGACCCTACCAAGATATTTGCTTCATACAAAATTATGTTCTTGGAAGAAATATGAATTGATTTTAAAAAGTCATTTAAATACATTATACTGGTTCTTTATAAAGGAACTTCTCTGCCCCAGGGAAGCTTTTCATAAAGAAAATAATCACCCATAAATGTCTTATGGGTGTTAGGTATTTTTAAAGAAGAGCACACCTGGGACAACTTTAGACAGATAAAGTTATACTATATTAATTTCCAAGTTAACTTAGCACAAATGGGAGAACTTAACATCTGTTAAGATAAAGAATTTGTGAGCTCTGGCCTGAACATGGACTAAACTCAGATGCACCTCAGATATTGTGAGAAGATAAACTACTCATTAACTCTAAAACTCAACTACTGATGAGGTTTCCTTACAGGAATATTTAGGGATTCAGGAACAAGACAAAGATCTGTTTTAAGTCCTCAACTTTATCTCTTAGATATTTTGAAAATCACTATTTTGAAAAAAAAAAAAAAAAACAGAGACAAGGACTTCTTGAATTGACACTGAGGTCTTTCAAGGCAATTTATTCTGTAACTCCTGAGAGATTCAATGGCTAACAGAAAGCAAGAGGCAATGAAAATGAAATGAAGAGTAAGGAAGAGATGAAGAAAAATTAGAATAAAATAAATTAAATGGAAATGGTAATAGTAAATAGTCCCAAATTTGAGTATGATAACCATTATAAAAATGGTCAAGTATCTGAGTAATGGGATAATGGGTGATATAAGAAAATACTTAATTTTTGTATATTTGTACACTGCATTATTATAAAAAATAATTAAATTTTAAAGAAATTTTTAAAAATTGTTGCTGTTTCTTTACTAATGATTAAAGAGTTAATTAATCCCCAGCCTAAATTTCCCCTAAAATAACCTCACAGTAGTTTTAATAATATTAGAACAATACAATGTTCTTCTTAATTTTCAGTCTAATTCTATTAGACTAGAAGGACAGAAGTCCTTGCATTTGACATGAGGTAATTATCAAAACAAATATTCTGGCCGGGCGCGGTGGCTCATGCCTGTAATCCTAGCTCTCTGGGAGGCCGAGGCGGGCAGATTGTTTGAGCTCAGGAGTTCGAAACCAGCCTGAGCAAGAGCGAGACCCTGTCTCTACTAAAAATTAGAAAGAAATTAATCGGACAACTAAAAATACATAGAAAAAATTAGCCGGGCATGGTGGCGCATGCCTGTAGTCCCAGCTACTCGGGAGGCTGACGCAGGAGGATCGCTTGAGCCCAGGAGTTTGAGGTTGCTGTGAGCTAGGATGACACCACGGCACTCTAGCCCGGGCAACACGGTGAGACTCTGTCTCAAAAACAAAAAAACAAAAAAACACAAATATTCTAACTTAAAATGTTCCAGAAATTTTTTTTAAAAAAAAAACTTTGGAAGAATCAAATCACAGTAGATAATGTAAAGTATACCTATTCATACATAATACATGACATAAAAATTTTAGATGACTTCAATACCAAACAGTTTAATTTAATGAATACCCTTTTGAAAGCGTATTGAATTTATTTTAGTACAGGGAGACTACCAACTTTTGTCACATCATTTTGTATGAAAACCAAAACTGAAGGCTTTTTTTTTTAAATGTCAGGTTAAGATGTAAATATGGAGTTGCTTTAGTAATCCACATCTATTTGAGAATAAGTAACAACATTTGCAGTCTTTTAGTGGCTTAAATCATTGCATTAAAGCAATGTAAATATTTACCTTCAAAAGTGCTTATGGAGTAAAAAAGTTAACATGCTAAAATTCAGAATCAAATTTACAAATTAAATAAATCTAGTTCATTTTTAGTATTAAATTCACTGACATGCATATAACATTCAATTACTTTACACACACATATATACACATTCCACCTGGTGATTCACTTCCCAATAAATCATTTTTGTATTTTAAAGAGAAAAGAAAAAAATCCTACATGGAAAAGTGAAGTCTTTATCTAATCTTTACTACTTGTAGCATGAGCCCTTCTAATTTAATAAGGAATAGATTCACCTCTTCCTTAAACTCCATCAATAACTTAACATGAGATTTTTATTATCGCTGTTGCTCTGGCAAATCTATTACTTAAAAAGAGACAAAATATTCCTACCTTCTCCCTTCAGATGGAATATTTTAAGGATCTCGCAAAGCAGTTTGAAATAAGCATGTTAAATAGTTTTGCATAAAATACACGCATACATATTTAGACAAACAGAATATAAACACTGGGAGAACTGTAGGACACAATCTGAATTTACGATTTACTTTTCAGTATTTAACTTAAAAATATAACATTTCATAACATATTATGCTTACATTCCTAAGCAAAACTAAATTCACAACTCCATGGCTGGCTAGAAAGCTGTGGCTGTATAAAAGGAAGTTCCCATATTTAAATATATATATTTATCATTAAAATTTTATAACAGTTAATGTTCTTGTTGAACCTGCCAAATCTATATTTCTATTTTAAGATACTAATAAATTGCATCATTTTACTTCATTTCGAGAAAGACTTTTTATTGAATAAATTAAAAACCTGAGTAAACTCAAGAAAGCATCTCAAAAACACAGCTTCAAAAAAATTAACTTTCAAAGTTTCCCCTATGACTTTTATTGAATATATCCCCCATCCCAGAAAACCTTTCAAGATTAATGTAAATCTCATGAGTAATTATGGACTGTATGTTTCACTTACAAGATATCATTAAATAGTCTTCAGAAGTGCTCTTGACGTCGTCATCATCATCATCATCATCATCTTCGGTTTTTATAGTAACTGTAGAACCAGGAACACCACCAGCTGCTTGAATCACAGTTTCTGTATCTGAATTAGTTACCAGAACCTCCTCTGATACCATTGTGGGAGAGTCAACTCCTGACACACAATCTTGGACCACATGTTCCAAGTGTCCATCAGGACCAGTAACAAGGTCAGCCACAAAAACCTGCTCAGGTACCCTAACGGTTTCTGTAATTAGTTCAGAAGTCAAGATATGATCACCATCATCTTCCTCTAAATCTTCTTCAATGGCAACATCAGCTTCGAGTACAGCTTCAGGAACAATCACACCTTCTGTTACTACATCAGTCTCTGCGATGATATCAGGCCCATGGACAACTTCAGCTGCAAGGCCATGATCAAGAGTTATCCCATCATCTGTGACAACATCAGAAACTAATACAGCTTCAGGAACTGAAACAACGATATGATCTCCATCGATATGCGCAGTACCAGCCATTCCAGCCACTATAATACAAACAATTATCCAAAAAAAGATAAAGTTATTTTATTAATTAAAAGTAATGTATTTAATATATCAAATTCTATAAAATATTTCTTAAACACTAAATAGTCCTGGCCAAATATATCATTTTTAAAAATCGCTGACAATTTAACTGCAATAAAAACCATCACCAACAAGGAATTGGGATAGAGGTAGATGAAAACAATGTTAGTAAAATCTAAATTAAGACCTTAAAAATCATGTACTTTATTTTTTAAGTAAAATATAAAAGCCATAATGAGATATCACTACAGTACAATTAAAACAGCTAAAATAAAAGGTGTAACACCATAGGCTGGTGAGGATGTTGAGAAACTGGACTTCTCATATTATTGGTAGAAATGTAAAATGGTAGCAATCACTCTGGAAAATAGTTTGGCAGTTTCTTACAAAACTAAACATGTACTTACCATACAACCCAACAACTGTAATCTAGGGCATTTTTCCCCAGAAAAATTAAAACATTACTAACAGTTCACGGTAGTCATAGTAGCTATTACTTGTAGTAGCAAAAAATTGGAGACAACCCAAATGTCCTTCAGTAGGTAAATGATTGGTTAAACCAACTTTGGCACATCCTTACCACAGAACACTATTCATCAATAAAAAGGAACAAACTATTGACACATTCGACAGCCTGAATCTTCTCCAGAAAATTATTCTGAGTCAAAAAAGCCAATCAAAGGTTATGATATCATATACCGTATAAATGAAATAATTTATAATATTCTCAAAATAATAAAACTATAGTGATAGAAGGACAGATTAGTAGTTGCTAAGTGTGGGTGGGTGTGTGTGTGAATACCCAGGGATAGCATATATATAATGATAGAGTAGTTCTGTATCTTCATTGTGGTGGTATTTACGTGAATCTGTATGTAGGATAAAACTGCATAGAACTATATACACACATGCACACAAATGTAGATAAAAACGGTGAACACTGAATGAGCTCTGTGGTCTAGTTAACAGTAATGAACCAATGTTAATTTCCTGGTTTTGATATTGTACTACAGTTATATAAGATGCCACCTTTAGAGGTAGATGAGTAAAGGATACATGGGATTTTACGAACTACTTTTTCCTACCTCTTCTGAGTCTATGATCGTTTCAAACTATTAAAATAAAAAGAACGTACAAACATAAAAGGATACTAATATGTTAAATTAAGTAAGCTAATAAAATATTCTATTATAAAATATGTATTACAAACATGAAAGTCCCTAAACTTCTTCAATTTATAAAAACACTCAAGAACGAAAATCAAACACCCCATGTTCTCACTTATAAGTGAGAGCTAAGCCATGGGTATGCAAAATAGACACCGGAGACTCAAATAGACTTTTTGAGAAGGGGGGTGAAGGATGAAAAATTACCTAATGGGTATAATGTACACTATTCAGGTGATAGGTACACTAAAACCTCAGACTTCACCACTATACAATATATCCATGTAACAAAACTCTACTTGTACCCCCAAATCTACTGAAATTTTTAAAAGAAAAAAAAGAACTATTATATCCAAAAGTGGAAGGCATGTTTCAACACCTGATGTAGTGGGGAAAAATCCTACTCATTTTAGACTAAGATTTGGTGATGATAGTAAAGCTGTAGGAAGAAAGTTTTAATGTTTTCTTTGAGCAGCATGGTAAACAACTTACCTACCTTATAAATATTGTATGAGCATAAAATCCCTTCATGTAGAATTCTGTTAAGTTCTGCCTCCCTGAGATGGTATAGCAAACAAGAGAGTTTGTGGACCTGGTTATACTAATAAATTACATGAAATCATCCAGTACAAACCTTTCCCACATAATGATCGCTCTCTACAAAGAAGTACCTGAAAGAGTGCCATTTGCTATACAGTGTTCACTATTTTTAACCATTTCATTATGGAAGTTAGTTGACAAGTTAGGATGGAGACCATCAATACCCTAAAAGCCATCAAAGAACAAGGTGAGAAGGGAAAACTCAGCTTTCAACAGAGCTCTTGGGCTTATTTTCCTTTCAACCCTTCTGGATCATTCTCACCATTCTCAAACTCTCACCTAAACCACTGAATTACCCCAAAAGGACACAACTATTATTCTGGAAATCTGGTAGACAAAGGGAGTATGTATAAAACAAGTGCTTTTTATTTGCTTGTTACTCCACTGGCCATTTCAGAGATGGGTAAGAGGTGGGGGTTCAAATTTAACATTCAATAACTGGAAATGTGGTTTTAGCAAGAAAAAATTAGATATTAATCCTGTAGAATCCACAGTATGAGAATTCTACATATATAAACAATAAATTACTATTTCATAGAAATATTTTTACAAACCAAAGATTTAAAATATGGAAAATTCCATTCATTTTAGAGAACTGCTGGAGATTAGTCTGGTTCCTGAGAATAGACAATAGAAAAGTGTGGAAGAATAGAATGCTAGTTATTAACCTGGTTCAGTGCATTCTAAGGAGATGGCATAGGTTGGAATAAGTGCTTTTGAGTTCACCTCAAAAGGAATTTACATGTCAAAATAAATCAGGTCTAAAATGAAAAAAAAATCCAAATATGCTTGTTACTATGAACCAAATGATTTCAAGGATACTAGACCAAGAACTAATACTTCCCCCACAGAGTATACTGGCAGATTACACAGACCAAGATCTACGATTTCTCCTATTAAATTTTGCTCTTTTCTCTTATCAGTTCATCTGTTACATTCCATTGAATTTCTAAACAAGTCACTTATTTATCTACACATTAGCTGTATTTATTGAACACTATGTAATAAGCAACCTGCTAATATTTCTACATACTTTGATCTCATTTAATCCTCAGAACAACTGTATAAGAGTGTTATCATACTCATTTTAAACATGAAGGAACTATGATTTAGAGTTGTTAAATAAGCTTGCCCAAGGTCCAAGCTGGGAACTGAACTCACTGACTCTAGATTAGCTTTTTTATACTTGCTTAAGAGGAAGATAGAGTTTATTTACCCTCGATAGTGTTTTGTAAAAAGATTTACAAGCTTAACCAAGTGAGGCACTACTAGAGGAATAGAGGGAAAGAATAAAAAGACCTATTACATAGTCACTCATTTAAATTTTAAAGCATTCGGTAAACAGCACTAAATGGCATTAAGAATTTATCTTACTAGCTTAGGAAATTATAAATGATAAGAAAAAATCATTTAAAAAGTGTGAAATCAATTAGATAACCAGACAGTAAGAAACAAGTCCTGGTTCAGGTACTTCCCATTTTATTAAAGTTATTTCATTTAAATGTGAATACCTGGAGCATCACCAGAATGATAGTATGAAATCAGTTATTTGTTGGGTCTGTCTTGGATCACTATCTAAGGCTGTTTTGCTATTTATAAGTCCCATAGCACACAGACTTTCTGCAGCATTAAAATTGTAAACAACTATTTAATTCAATGGCAGGCTTCAAGGACAACCATTATACTGAGACACCAGCAAGGTTATTACAGAAAGCACAATGTTGTAAATTTTTAAATCTCAAGTATCCTTCAAAATAAATTGGTGTAATGAATTCTGAATTAATGATTCAGATTCTCCAGATAGTAGTCATCCCATACTCCCAACCAAGAACCTTAAAGAATTTAGAAATCATGTGCCACATAATGTTCTTATTTGGCTAGCTCTACCTGTGTATGCTAAACATTATGTTTCATGAATATCATTAATTTATAGGGTTGCAAATATTTAAACTTTGATGCTAACAGAAATTTAAACAGAATGTATCTAATCTCTAATGAAATTTTAGAATTTAGAAAGTTTAATATGTGGGTAAAATAATCAATCAGAGGAGTGCTGCTTTCAGAAGAAATCTAATTTACCAGGGATAAAATTTCCAGAAGCTCTCCCAATAAAGGTCTTTTTAGGTTTAGACCTATCTGACACCTTTGCATTTCACAAAATAT